AGTAAGAGCATAATAAATGCTTGCTGATTCCTGACTTAGCTGTGTTACCCTGGGGAAATAACTTAACTTTTCAGTGCCCCAAGGAATTCTTAAGACTCTTAAGTTGCAGAGATGGTGCCAACCTGTATTGGTAGAGGGAATTTGGGACTCATGTGGGACTTTCCTACGCCAATGAAATTACAGGTCTGATACCAATCCTTATCTCTGGTTTCTAGTTTCCCTGGAAAGAGATGAGAATCAGAGCACCAAAGAAAGTCATGGCTAAGTTTAACTCTTAACTCCATTGTTATTGTTCCCTTTCCCCAGGAGAATCTTTGAAGTGATGGCGAATTCCCTACCCATGTGTTAAGGCCCAGGTAACAGAAGTAGGCCCAAGGACCAGAGGTGGGTTTGTCCCTTGGAGGAATCATTGGAGCACCTACTGTCTCACAATGTAGCAGTGAAGGACTGAAAGAATTTCAGAGCATTTTAGAGTCCAGCCCCTTTATTTTTCCAGGTGTGGAAAATGAAGCCCAGAGAGGTTAGGCTGATGATTTGATGTTAAAAGTGCCAGTTAGAAATAGAGTTGGGTTTAGAGCCCAGTCTCTCCTCCCCCCTCCCCCGCCTTTTTTTCTATTATTAGTTTAACTCTCCCTGCACTCAATAGGACCCTCTCTTGGAACAAAGGAGTACAGCTACTTGAAACAAATCAACATATTTGCCACGTCTTACAATGAATGCCTCCTATGGTCTGATCCGAGGAAGACATGAGGCTTCTGATATCAGTTGTTCTCTCGTATATTTCATTGAGCGGAGCCTCTGAACAAGTACTGCAAAACATCTGTGAATTTGGGATTTCATTGATGTGAGCATCCCCTCCAATATTACTGATCTCTACCTCTTCATGTTCTCTCATCCTGGGTGTACGTGTATGTCCTCTCCAGGGCAACTCTAAGCAGAACCTCCAAATAAATAGAGGCACCTTGGTACTTAGTGAGTTTCCAGAAATTCAGGGAGGATCTAAACTGACTTTTTTCTTCATGCATGAAAAGGGTTGGGAAAAATATTTTCCTTAACCTGGGGAAGAAGGGTAGGAGAGTCTTAATATTCCCCTCTCCTTGTGCTTGGGAAAGAACAATGCTGGCCTAATCACAATGCAAAAGACCCTCACTAGCAAGCAGCCTCCAGAGAAGTGCATCTCACAGGCAAGGGAAACAGGAGGAGAATTGCTAATTAGAGCATCCCCCAACTGAGCCGATCTTCCGAAAGGCACATCTGAAAGGTGGCGGCTGCCTCTACCAGTTCCCGGGCTGCCGATGACAGGGCTTCTGCGAGAGGAGAGAAGGGGGTGCATTGGGACTTTTCACATGCTGGCATGAAGCTATGGCACATATCCCTCCCCCTTCCAAAGCCCTCTCTTCAAGAGATGAGGCAATGCAGATGGAGAGGAAAGGAAAATATTCCCATTTTCTCTATGGCCTAACAGACTTCTCCTCCCCCACCCCCACCCCCACCCCCACCCAAAAAAGTCTGAATTGAACCACAGAGTAAATCATGAACAGGGTGGGAGAAAGGAGAGGGGGAAAGAAATATCATATGAAGAACTTCGAGTCAGCAGACCTTGGTTCAGGGACTGGTTCTAACCTTGTGTCATCTCTGTGACTTTGGATGGGGCACTTTCATTTTTAAACCTGTTTGCTTGTCTTTAAAATGGAGATAATACTTATATTTCCTACCTTGACGAGGTTGTTAGGAGGAAGAAATGCATGCAAAGCATTTTGTAACTGCAAGGCATTATATCAGTGTAAGTCCTTGTTTTCTTTATTATTACTGTAAGCTCCTCAAGGCAGAGGCTGAGCTCTCATTTTGGTCTCTATGTCTAGAGCATAGCACAATGTCCAGTATGTTCTCCAAGGTGCTGAACTCAGAGAAGATACAAAAAAAATGCTTATGAAACTGAATTCAGAATGGGGGCAGTCCTTCAAGGACCCTGCACTGCAAGAGGGTGACCCTCTACTGTGCTGGCATAACACTGACATGTGGATAGGAAACGGGACTGCAGATTATAAGGAATTGTAAAGGCTCGTCTCAATTCATAGGCTGGTCAACACTTACATACTGTATGAGAGGGATGTAACTAAGAAAGGAAAATCATTGATATGGCTGAGCCGAGGAACAATTAAGCTTGCAAATCACTATTCTACGTCTACAATATCAGAGAGCTAGACGGACAAACAGGCACAGCAGACTGACTTCTCTTCCCACTTCAATCCATCTTCCATTCAGCCACTAAAGTGATTTTCCTAAAGCACAGATCTGACCATGTTACCTTTCAACACAATAAGCTCCAGTGGCTTCCTATTGTTTCTAGGATTAAATATAAAGTCTTATGCTTGGCAGTTGAAACTCTTCACAGCCTAGCCCCTTCCTCCATTTGACTTCCCTCTACACACTGTACAATTCAGCTACACTGGCTTTGCTGTTCCTTGCCCATCTTCATGTTCCGTTTCCCACCTCCAGCCTTTGCACTGGCTGTCCTCCATGCCTGGAATGCTCTCCTTCTTTATTCCCAGACTCAGCTCAAATCCTACCTTCTGTAGGAGATGTTTCCCAGTTCTCCCAGCTGCTCCACCGTATTATCTTCCATCTACTCTGAAAACATATTATGCATACCTAGTTATCTTTTTGTTAAAATTAAAGGCTCTGTCCTGAGCCTTTAATAATGCTTGTTGGCTGACTCTCAATCAATTTATTATGAACCTACTATGTCCTAGGTACTGTAAATGACAAGGAAGGAGCTTTTAGCTTAAAAGTCGGTGGTTAAGAATTTGGTCCATTGAAGCAAAACAAAATTAGTACATTCGTTTGTGTGTGGGAGAGTTAAAGGATGTGCCCAGCTTGTTAGAATAATAGAACTGTTGAATTTCAATTTAGAAGGGACCATTGCCATTTACTCCCTGGGTGACCTTTGGCAAATCCCTCCCCAACCCAAATTTCGGTTTCCTCATCTGAAAAAAATGAAGAGACCAGCCTACATGATTTCTAAGTTTCCATTCAATTGTACATTCTGGGCTTGAGTCCCACCCCCTCATTGTATCAGAGCATCACCATAGCACTTTTTAAGCTAGAGGTGTCTACCATGAGACTGCCTTTTTTTTTTTCGATTTTGGGAAAGAGACTCCTTTGAATGGGGCCTAACTAATCTGGTCCTCCTTATGTAGAATTCTCCCTCAGAGTGGACAGAATCTTTTTCTTGCTCAAGTACATTTTTAAAGAAAAGGTTTTGCCATTTGAAAAATTAGTGCAACAAACACAGGTGCCCAACGTGATGTGAAAGCTCAGGCTGTTACCTCTGTAATCAACCAATCAGAATCACAAGATGCTACAGATGACACATTTGGGGGGATTTTCCGGAGAAAATGTTTTGGGCTTCATGGACATATTCATTCATTGTTTCATTAGTTCTTCTATCCTACACAAAATAGAATTCTACCTTATTTTCTCCCCCTGGTGTGTCCTGAAACCAAGGACATAGATGAGGTTCATCTGCCATCCAGCCCCTTGAAACTGTCAGACATCATTATTTTAGCGCCAGAATGGGCCTTGGAAGCCACTGAATCCAATCTCCTGATTTCACATGTGAGGAAAGTAAGTCACAGGGTGACACAGCTAGTAAGTGGTTGAGGTGAAATTTGAACCCTGGTCTTCCTAACTCCAAATCCATCATCCTATCCACTTAACCATGCTGCCTCATTAAGGAATCTGACTGAAAAAAAACTGAAGTGCCGACAATTCCTATGTCATGGCACCCAAGAGATTATCGAGCTCTGATTTTATAGATAAGGAAACAGACCCAGAGAAGAAATAACTTGATTATGGTCATATAGACACTAAATAGCAGAGCTGGGATTCAAACCCAGCTCTTTTGATTTCAAATCCAATATTCTTTCCATTATGTCATATTGGCAACTAGGGTTTGCCCACATTTGTACAGCTAGTTAGAATAAAAGAAGCAGAGAGTGTCAGAGCTGGAAGATACTGTAGAGATCAGCTGATTTAATCCTATATCTGAGAAAAACCAAAATCACAACAAAGTGGAATTCCTTGTTCAAGGTCACACAGTAATCTAGCAGCAGAGCAGAGTAGAACTCCAGTTGTCTGGTTCTCTGACCTGTGCTTCATGTATGGTCAGAGAATACAAACTCACTTATCACCTAAGGAAAATGGAATTATCAATAGGAAAGTACATTTGTGCTGCCTGCCTCCCCCCCATATGCAGGCAGTGCTGAACTTAAAATCAGGAAAGCCTTAGTCTGACACCTGCGTTTGACACTTGCTAGATGTGTGATGCTGGGCAAGTGGCTTAACTCATTTAAGCCTCAGTTTCCTCATCTAGAGACAAGTCTATGATTTCTATAGTGTAGGGAGCTCGCTAAGTCCTAAGGAGTTGTCTAAGGGACTTAGAGGTTAAGTAACCAGCATCACATAGTATGGGTCTGAGGCAGGATTTAAATCCACATATTTGTCTCAGGATTTGAATCCAGGTATCATCTACCACACCTCTTTGCTTCTATATATGAATTAGGGAAAACACTAGCACCTACATCATAGGGTTGTTGTAAGGAACAAATGGGATAGCAAAAAGCACTATATGCTGTATATAGAAGTATAAATGTGAGTTATTATTATGCATACATGATATGTTTCTGTATGCATATACCCACACATGTGTATGTATAGACATTATATGCATACATACATGTGCATACATGCACATATACCTCCATATATGTATGTATGCACATATATGTGTAATGCAAAAAACTTAAATGCTCTCTGGGCTTCTTTTTGTCTTGGATTAGCCGTGTTACTCTTTTTCACCATCCATGTGGCTAATTGGAAATTGACCAGAGTATTGAGTTATCTAATATTATAAAATATGTGTGAAGGAGGAGAAGAAGGAGGAGGAGGAGGAGGAGAAGAAACTGAGAAAATAGGAGAGAAAGGCAATCGCTACTCACAGTAAATGAAAGGAAAGAAGAGAACAAAGTTCCTTCATCATATCTGGATAATTTGGCCAGCACGCCTTCCAGGATTGTGACAAACTGCAACGACAACAAATGAAAAAGAAACATAAATGTCTGTCAGGTCCCAATTGTCCATAATCATGATCAAGATATCTTGACAACAGAATCCTGGTCTGAAAATATATATATATATTTAAGCATGGAATGAACCTCGTGGGTATTTTTTTTTATAAAGTTCTATTATCTAATTCCAGCCATCTGGGAAAGAGATTCTGTTGTCTCTACACACAAATATTTGACTTATTCGGCTTTCTCTTCATTGATTATGTGATTGCAAATATGAAATGCTACTGAAATGCAAAATGACACAATATTATCGAAACACACAGAGCACACGATAATATTCAATATCCTTTTTTTTAATAAAACAGTGCAAAACAGTTTTAATGTTCCACATTAGTGCTATGTTTAATCCAATCTATTTTTATTTGCATTTTTATCAGTAATTTCAGGAAGCCGAAGATTCCCACTGGCAAATATAAATGCTTTCCCTGTCTCTCTCTCTCTCTCTCTCTCTCTCTCTCTCTCTCTCTCTCTCTCTCTCTCACTCGGTTTCACTTAGCTCAAATTCTATAATTCATGAGGGGGACTGAAATAGCTTTATCTGACTTTTATGCTTTATTATGGCTCTCTCTGCATCTGAAACTAGAGGGGAAAGGGGGCTTTTCATGATGGCAGCTTTCTGTATTAATGTGGAAGTTTCACTGCTCTAAAACCGAACTTTGTCAGCTTGGAAAAAACAATTTCCATGTCACCGCATGCGGCGTTTGGGGATGCGTTCCTATTAGGTTAACATATGCCAATTCAACCGTTTGTTTTCACACAGTTCCTTTTAATCATTAGGAAAATCACTCTGAGCCGAGGGACTTGGTGACGCACCGGCATCTTGTTTCCTGAGCTATTCAACTAGCCGGCTCAACTTTTTTTAATGTGTGACATTTTAATGGAAATGCAGGATTAGAAAATAAAAAAGGAGGATATTCATGATGCCACATTTCACCTGGTGCAGAAGGTTACCTTTGCCACTAAGAGTGTTATCATTTCTTTAACAGTTTCTTCAATTAGTTCATCTATTTTTGAATGGTATTGATGCTAAAGGAAAAAAATACAAAGAGACATATATTAGCTTGCTCCATAAGTGATGGCACGGTAGTAATCAGTCGCTTTTATAAAATGTGATTTAAAAATAAAGGCTAGCTCAGAAAGCATATTTACACTGGGCTTTACCAAGCAGCTTTGCTGACTCCTTGACTTGAGAGCTTTTGATGGAGGAAGTTCTAAAGCCCTTTTAAAATTATCTGACTAACTCATTCTCATCCAGGCTTCTCCCTGACTTTGATAATGGGGAGACAGACACACATTTACAAATGATGTGTAAATGACTTAGCGGACTAGCACTGTTTGGGTTTGGAAGATACAAAGCGCAATGGAAAGACTTCAGTCGAGGAGATGGAAAGGGGTCTTTGGAAGCCATTTGGGGAATGGATACTATAACTAATACCTGAGATCCAAAACCTTGAGGACTCAAGGTCTCAAATGACCAAGCTCCTTGAGGTTCTCTTGGAACCATGGAAAGAATGCTAAATTTGGAGTTACTGGATTCAAATTCCAAACCTGCCCCGCCCCACCTCTTTATTCCCTATGACTTTGGGGAAGTGGCTTTATCTCTTTGGGCCTCTGTTTCCCTATTTGTGAAAAGAGGAGGTTAGGCTAAGTGACCTCTAAAATTCATTCCAGTTCTAAGCCTCTGATTTCAAAGGTCACTGCCTGCTCTGGGGCTATCTATGATACCATGATTTTGGGACATTGACCCTTTGATTGTCCAAGTCTTTGGAGGAACAGCTCAGGGTCCATGTTTCTGTAGGTGCATATTTGGATGGATAGTAAAACAAAACACCTAACAGAAATTGATGATACTTTTCCCCCCTCTTTCTCTTACTCATTTTCACTACTGTTAATTTAAAATAGGGATGTTAGACAAACAGGCAAAACCCCAAAACACCCCAGCGCAAATAAAAATCTGTTATAAATGCCAAGCGTAGATTGGAGAGGAGAAGGGAGTGTGACTTCAATTTAAAAAAAAAAGTCATATGCCAACTCTTTTGCATTCATTACACCATTCGTATATTCATCTGAGTCGTTCTATATTTTCTTAGCTAAGAAGGTAACAATGTGATTAAAAAAATAAAATGTTCAACACACTTACCCACTCTTTAGCAAACTTTTGGATGAATGATGAATAGGAACAGAAAAAAAGAGAAAGGTGCAAAAAAGGGCAAAAGGAACACATGAATGAAATTATAACAAAAACATTCTTGAAATTAGAAATGGGGTTCTGAGGAAGCTGGGACAGAAAGGATAAGCAGTGACAAACGAGGGTTGACATTTAGGTAACTGGCAATCTCACTCATTTCCAAAAAGCCAAGAGACAGTAAGTTAAATTAATTCACCAAGAATTTGGTTGTAGGGTAGAGCATTTTTTGCCCTTTATACAAAGAAAGAACCCTGGATAGGGAGCTACAGAATCCTGGCTCTGTATTTACTAGCTGTATGGTCTTGGGCAAATGATTCAACCTCTCTGAACTTTGGTTGTCTCTTCTGTAAAATGAGTGGGTAGTCTAGGGCACCCCCAAGGTCCCTTCCAGTTCTGAATCCACACTGATAATAATATGTCTATGGATATTTGTTTTCAGCTAAGTTTGCTAAGATATGTCTGGAGCAATGCTATTCATCAGTCAATAGTCATATCATTTGGAAATGGTATTTTTTTCTTGCAATGGTCTATGCTCGTAAGCACATTTTCCATTTGAGTTCTGTAGAGGTTTTGAGTGAAAGTTCACAATGCGAGGTCATGTACATAGTGGTGTATGTGTCTGCCGTTGTTATCTATGGAAATGGAGAAAGAGGATTTTTACGTAGAGGCGAAACTTTCTCATTGATGGAAAGGCAGATCACACGTGCTGCTCATGATAGGTAGGGGATAGAAAAGGGCGGCACAGGAACAGTGTGATTAAAGGTCAAGTCAAGACCAAGACTGTCTTTAGGGAAAGTCCCAAGACCATTCATCTGAGAAGTGGAGAAGATCAAGAACAAGGAGGCATGAAACTGACTTGCAGACCTTGGTAGCATCCTCTGGAGACCACTGCTAGAGAGAAAATCCAACTCCAACTAGGAGAAGTATTTGTGGTGATCAGTATTTTATTAAATGTGAAATTTAGTGAGAAAACAGGTCCTTTGGATAGAATCCTTTGTTATGCCAGGTGGAGAAACCTGGCTTAGAGGGGAAAAAAAGGTGAGGATAAAAAAGTCAGTTATTTACGCGTGAAAGTGTAGTGGAAGATGGACTTGATCTGCAGTCAAACTGGGCTCAGATCCAAGCTCTGCCACTCATCTCTCCTCATTATAAAGGTCACTTTGCTTTTCTGGCCTGTTTCGTCTTATGTAAAATGAGAGGTTGGACTAGATGACCTCCAAGGTTCCTTCTAGCTCAAAACCTGTGATATCATGTTGTTCATTTGTTTCAGTCACGTCTGACTGTTTACGACACAATACATATCTCTGCATTGGAATTTTTATGCTTAATATTGTTGTTGTTGTTTGATTGTTTCAGTCATATTTGGCTCTTTGTGATCCCATTTGGAGTTTTCTTTGCAAACATACTCGAGTGATCTTCTCCAATTCATTTTATAGATGAGAAAACTGAGCTAAATAGGGTTAAGTGACTTGCCCAGGGTCATACAGCTAGCAAGTGTCTGAGGCTGGATTTGAACTCAGGTTCTCCTGACTCCAGGACCTACAATCTATCCACTGTGCCACCTAGCTGATCAATATGCATAATTCCTTTAAGTTCTTTTATCCTGGTGTGTGTGTGTGTGTGTGTGTGTGTGTGTGCATTTATGTATACATGCATAACACAGATATACACATATATTAGAAAGGAAGAAGCATTTATATAACACCTACTATGTACCAGGTATTTTCTGACTATTATCTCATTTGATCCTGGTGAGGGAGGTGCTATTATATTCCCGTTTTAAGATTAAAGAAACTGAGGCAAACAGAGGTTAATTGACTTTCCCAGGGTTATACAGCTAGGAAGTGTCTGAGGCTAGGTTTGAACTCAAACTTTCCAACTGCTGACCCAGTGCTCTATCCACTGTGCTACCAGTTGCCTCTATGTAGAAAATACATACTATATATATATATATGTATATATATATATACACACACACACATATATATATAAGTATATATATATATAATATATCATCTATCTGTCTATGTAATAGATAAAAGAACCCAAGGCAATTGCATATTGAGCATTAAATTCCTTTGCACAGATACATCTATCAACTGATCCAAAGTATTATCTTCCACCAACTGTAACTCACCCAGTTTTCTAGACTAATTTCTCATTCCTCTCTCTTGCACACTTCACATTTTAGCTAAACTGACCTGCTGGACCATTTTGTGATATTCCATTTCCTGCCTTGGTGCTTCTACATAGGCTGTTGTCCCCTTTGTCTGCAAGCTCTTTACTATCCCTTCCATCTCATTGACTCCCTTGTTCTCTTCTAAACACAACTCAAGCCATCATCTCTTACGTGTTGCCTTTCTCAGATGTTAATATTCTCCACCCCTGGTTCCAGAAATTAACGTGTATTTACTTATCTATGATCAAGGCATCATAGCTTTAGAGTAAGGAGGGACTTAAAAGACTGTTTGGTCCAACTTCCTCATTTTACCTATTGTCTTCCCCTGTTAGAATGGAAGCTTTTTGAGAGCAAGGACCATTTTGTACCCCTTTCTTTGTATCCCCAGTACTGAGTACAGTGCCTGGCACCCAGCAGGTGCTGAATATATGCTTTTTGAATTGAATCAAACCCTAGGAAGAGATGCGTTGTTCAGCCAAAGAAAGCGTCTAACAGCAGGTAATTCAACCCAAGCCACACATGGCGCGCTACCCGTTAAATTCTGTTCTAAAAAGGCGCTCAAGGCTGGGAGCAAGAAGTTCAGTTGCACCAAGATCTTCCCCTACCCCCCAGGTCATTTGAAAGTTTTCCATAGTTGCCCGAAAGTGCTGCTTAATTCTCCTCATTATCCTCTTGCCTTAATCAGGTTCTCTTTGGGCTGTCAACTGTTCATTTTCATTGGATAAATTATGGGTTTTAACTCAAAGTTAATGGCTAGGTGTGTGAGAAGTAATACGGTGTGAAATGTATTGACAAACATATTTTCAATTAAGGGCTTCTTTACAAAGCAAATAAGGACCCCGCTGAGAGCAGCACCAGCTTTGTAAACAGCTCCACAGAGGAGAGAACAGATTTTGGAAGGGAAGGTAACAAAGGAGCCCTTCCAAGAGAAATCATTTTCCTCCCGCCTATCCGCCGGAGGGGACCTAAGCTTTCTGGCCCAAGGAGCAGCAAGACACTGTCTCATCTACGAGTACTGCGGAAACTCCAGATGGGTACCCTCATGGGTTTTGGGTGAGGGTTTTCTCTCATCCCCTTGTAGTGAAAAAATCACTATGATTCGGATTTCCAGGATGTGGATTTGAGTTTGGATTCTGCCACTGTTTGCTTATGTGAGCAGAGGATCATCCCTCGAATTCTCCAGGCTTTGGTTTCTTCATTTGCATAAGAGGGGTTTGAAGTGGTTTAGGTTGAGCAAGTAATCACCAAGCAAGTATTGAGTGCCTATGATTTGCTAGATGCTATGTTAAACATTGGGGATACGACACCAAAAAATGAATGGATCCCTGCTTTCAAGGGACTTCCATTCTATCTGGGGAGACCACACAGATATATACAATCAATCAATCAAGAAATATTCATTGGGCACCTGCTATGTTCTGGGCATTACTCCATATAATTGTATGTGGAATAAATACAAAACAAATATGAAATAAAGGCAGGGGGGCATCAAAGGTTGGGGGGATTAGATAAAAAGCTACTACAGAGCTTGAGCTGAGTTTTGAAGGAAGTAAGGGATCCTAAGAGGTAGTGGGATGGAGGCAGAGTCATCTAGGTATGAGAGACAGCCATTGCAAATGCCCAGTAAAGGGGGAAGGGCGCTGCGTGTGAGCAACAGTC